AAAAGCTGGTTACGTTCATTCTTGGGCATGTACATGCACACCGTTTCCTTGCAAATTGATGTACTTAAGAAAATTGTGCGTGCAATAGGCAGGAACTAGTGTAAGCATTCAGAAGTCTTTTATTGCACAATCAAATCTTTTAAGTACAGGCCGGGTGTAATAGGGAGCTTTATAGTTTTTCTTTACTGTGAAGCATGTTGAAAATACTTAAGTAATTGATAATTATTTCTCTATGCTCTTTACTTATCAATCCTATTTTTGTTCAGTCTTTAAAAAACATAAAAACTACTGCTAAATTTGACTGGCTAAAAAAAAATATATATATATATATATAAAAAAAAACATAAAAACTAGAATGAGCAAACTTATAAACATAGCTTCCCTCCGTCTGACCTATGGTATCAAAAAAGCTTGCAAGGAATCAGTCAGCAGCCACCAGAAGAAGAAAATGTGGTGATCTGAGACTTCTCTGCTCTCTACAAAGGGACAGTTGCCAGTCTGGGCACCAAGTGCTCTGATAGATCCGGCAATGGAGAATTCTGCCCAAGGACAGCAGCTGCTAAGCCAGTAGGGTTCTAACTAGCTGGTTACCAGATGGTATGGCACCGATGGTCCCACGAATATGAGAAAAGATTTGACCTCTCTTGTGGCACTCTCCCCACAACCCCTGACTGTCTGGAATGACTAGCCCAACTCACCTCTGCCATTTCTTAGTGGCTCTCTCTCGCTCTTTCTCATATGGGTGTGTTGGCGGCTAAGATGACCCAAACCTTAAGGGCTCAGATGACCCAAACCCTGAGGGACCATGGGATTTCCTGACGCCCAAAGTGAGTTGTAGGAGGGGGCTGAAGAAAGCTATTCTAAGAGCTCACTGCCCTCTAGCCATACTGGCCTTCATTCTGTTCCTCCCACCATGACAGCAGTTCCCACCTGGAGGCCTTCGGACTGGAACTTCCTCAGCCAGGGTTGCTTTTCAACCAGATGGTCACAGGGCTGGCTCCTTCCCATTCTTCAGTCTCATCCTGAATGCTACTCCTGAAAGAAGCCTTTCCCTCCTACCCTAACGATGCTCCCGATTCTCCTACTCTGTCACTTACTTGGTTTTATTTTCTTTACAGCACATATCTTAATTATTTGTTTTCACATATAAGATTTTTCTCCCCTGACTGAAATGTCCACTCCATAAGGACAGAGGCCTCATCAGTCTCGTCCACCCCTGTAGGCTCAGCATCTTAAGTATTACCTGGCACACAGCACATACCTGATAGAAATTTATTGCAAGAATGAATAAATGAATAAACAAACAATAAACAAATGAACAAGGCAATCTGGTATAGAATCGGTAGGAAAAAGGTCAAAGCAGAATTTGTCACCTGTCATTAACCACACCGTTGCCATTTTTCCCCTCAATTTTCCCAGTGAGACTAGGGGCGATGCTATATGTGAATAATCGAGCTGCGAAGCTGCGGTATAGAATGTATGGCTTTTTCATTCTGTGCTCTAAATGGAAAACCACTCTGAAATAATATGCAGGATATTCTTAAAATTCAAATACAGGAAAAAAAAAAAAAGAAGAAGAAGAACATATTTGGATGTCAGCAAGATAGTTCTGCCAACTAATTATGCCCCGTGACATGTAATTGTGAACTGCTGAAAGACAAATGGTGAAGCAAAGCATTTATTATAAACACATACAGAGGTAAGACTGAGGTGTTAATTTTTAAGCAACTGTCATAAATCTGGTTCCAGGATATTATTCCATTAACATTATTGCTATTACAACAAAGAACGTAAGTGTGATGATGAGCTCCTTTCATGTATTTCTCAATACTAGGAAATTAGGCTTGCTAGCCAATCCCTAGCTGAGACACTGAGAACATACAAGGACACAATGAAAATGGCAGAATATTAATTATAGCAACAGGAAGAGAGCTGTTCTATGCATGGGAGATGCATTTAAAATGCACTCATACCTTTGTGTGGACATCACAGTACTCAAACCAAGAAATGGACACTCCACAGCTCCTGATACAACAGATTCAGTCTTTACGAAGGCAAATATACAATGAAACAAAAACAGAAAGCGCACATGTACCAAAGGAGAAAAGTATAGGAATGGAACTATCAATAGAGTGTCTTAAAGGCAAACTAGTGATCTTCCTCAGACTCAGAACAGAATGAAAGCATCGCTCCCCTGGAGTAGCAATTCAGAAGAGGACTGGGAGTGGAGGAGGGGTCAATAATTCATGGCTCCTGTTATATTAAAAGGTGACAAAAATCACGAAGTGCAGTACTGATACATGTTCTAGTTACTGCTATGTTTGAAAAGCATTCCAAATCCTAAAACACTGTGTATTTACCATCTTATAAATTGATTTGTCATTATCATATATTCAAGTTGTACAAATGTATTTTTCCTGCTGTATCAAAATTACAGAATCAGGCTCAAAAACAGAATCAGAAAGAACAGTTTTAAGCTTACTCACACAAACTATGATATGTAATATTTAAAATACAGTGAAATCATTATGGATACTATCCAAAATTTTAAGAATCTCTTTAACATGGTTAATAATAATTCTATTTTAATTCATGTGGGAATGTTTAATGTCATTTGCCAAAAAAGAATACTGAAATGGTATAAATGGTATTCATTATAATTAAGGCCTAATCACCAAAGAAGTCCAGAGGTATAGAATTTATGATCTTGCATACATGTTTATAAAATATAGACTCAGAAAAGAGCCATTTAATTTACCAAGAAATCCTCTGATCTCTCAGTGTATTATAATTAACAGGACCAATGGCAAATTTCAGGGTGGAGGTCTCTTTGGATGGCTCCTTCTAGCCTTGGGGTTTCTCTATTCCTGTTTAGGGTACAGAGTTGCCTTACAAGACTGTCGTTTTTGTTCCAGCTTTGCTTTACAGAACCTCATGCAAAGCCTCAACCATAAATAAAGCAGCAGGGCCCCAGCAGCCAGCTGAGTCATAAACCCCACTCAGCTGCATGTGGCTCAAGGTGTTGGGATCCCGATAGAGTAAGCCAAACAAGTGGAATCAATTTAAGTCAAAGCCTGGAAAAACAGAGACCTCCCCTTTGCCCACCCCAACTGGCAGTGGAAGACACCACAATCCCCTTTCCACCGCTCGAATACAGAGGACAGTAACGAAGCCCAGGAAAACATCTAGACCTGGGCAGACTTTCTTTCCACAGTCTAAAAAGGAAAAAAAATGATATTTGACAACCAACCACAAATTCTTAAATGTGCAGTTCTCCTGTTTTTAAGCATAAAAGCAGTCTTGTTGCTGCTAAGTTATTATCACCATCACATTTTTTGACATTTGTGCCCAGTACCATTTGGCCTTAGGGTACTTAGGCTTATTACTTTAAAAACACAGAGTTAAGCATGTTTAAATCACTTTAAATATCTCAAAAAGCAGCAAACACACAGCCTACCTGCTTGGGCATGCAAACTTGAAAAGAGAAGCTTTACAGAATGGCCTGCAGGTCAACAAATTCTGGTTTTAGCAGACCGATGTCAGGAAGGAGCTATAGAAAATAAGGTCTTGTGTATGAAAAATATTCTGCCTTTGGTTCCCTCAGGCCAGAACTCGGAAATGTTAGCAATCATGCCCTAAAAAACTGCAACTCTCATAAAGTGCTTAAAAACTCCCAAATAAATATGGCCCCTCAAAACTGTGTACAAATGAGAAACATTTAATGAACAATCCTTTCTTCGCCAATAATTCTGCTTAAATTAAGTCCAGCAGACTCTTCAAAGGGACCAAAGAAACCCCCTTGTTAAAACAAATTCTATATATAGACATTCAAGACAATTACATGATGCACGTAACCAAATATATATAATTATCCTAGTTTCTACATTCCCATTATCTTTATAAATATAGGATAAAAATCAGTCTAAATGACTTTCTCAGACCTCCTCAAGGATTAAGGCGAGTCAGCCAGCTTTTTAAAAGTACATGTATGTAGTAAAGATCAAAAGCAAATGTTCTGGTCAGTTCTTTTCTACTCATGGGTTTTACTAAGAATCTGTGCAGTTTTCAGGGAAAACACCACAAATGACAGCTGCTCAAAAGCATGGAAATTAATTGGCAGCAGGAATTTCCTTGACTAATAGGGAAAAACTTGAAGTCACATGTTTTGATGAGCTTATTTTTCCCATCCTTAGTCAAGCATATTCACTGTTAATGATTAACATTTTCAAATAGAAATATAGCCAAGTAAAATCTTGAGTATGTTCCCTATCTTTTCTCAGTGGAACACAACTACCCATTACTAAGTGAACAATGGCATTAATGAATGGATTTTAGCTGTAAATAATATGTAGGGGAGAGGTTCAACTTGCAGGTTTTGATTTTCTGTAGGAAACAAATCAAGACACAGTAAGAATAATGCATTTAGTGTATTAAAAATTAGTAGTAAGACAAGTGACTCCCCCACCCCCCACAGAAAGCTATCTGCTTTGAGCTGGTTTTCTAGCAGTGGGGATAGATTTACACTGATGCATCCACGGTCTCTCACTCTCAAGTCGTTGCCCTTGTGACTAGTGGTGAGAATGGATGAGACAGCTGGTCAGGATTAGGTGAGCAGCCTGTGGCCTTGGGACCAAGTCATGTTACTGTGCCCAGAGCCTGATGCCATGACCTTGGGCTCATTAGCATTATGCTCACATCACCCAAGCTAAAAGCCACTGATCAGCTGTGATCCAACATATACCACTCTATTCTCAATCCCAGAAACAAGGTAAGCTTTTTATTTTAAAGGCAGTCTGAATTGAGCCCATGACACCCAAAGGCTCATGCATGAAGTATATGTGAAAGCTGTCTCTTCAAGGCAGCAGTGAATGTCCAAGCATGAGCAACCATAGCCTTTTCATTCTACTCAAATGACAGCTCTGACAGAGCTCAAGGAAAGCAAGAAATAGTCAAAGAATTTCCAAAGCATGTACCCCAAGTGCCACAGTGGAACAACATACCTGGCCATCCCCAGACTTGGAAAGTTGGCAGGGACAATGAGTACATCTAGCCGGGAGAACGGGTGTGTTCCCAGGACAGAATGTGCTGCTGAGAGGCAAGGCGGAATCAGCCGCAGAAGGGTCTCTTGGCAGGCACTCTTGAGGCACATCGGGGCAAAGACCCGATGAGGAATAATCTCCTGGGTGGTGGCAGAATCATTCTGGAAGCGGCAGGGGTATTCCATGTGACCGCAAATGCCAATGTACCTGGGGAACACCACACAATAAATAGATGCACTTAATGATAAACCATGTTTATTCTTCTGGCCGTGGAGGTGAGGAACTCTTGCAGATGTGGACAACTTTAGGAGACAGTGGTTCAGACAGGCTTACAAGCAAAGACTGTTCATTTGAATTCTTGGCTTGAATGGTTCCGTGTGGCAATGAAAAATTACAAGTCAAAATATTTATTGATGTGCTTGAATCAATGGAGTAGCTTCAATCCAAGCTAAATGAAAGTAGTAAAATTTTGTCGTACGATAAAATGGGGGGAAAACCCCTAAGACTCAAAACAATAAAACAACCCTGCACCAAAATAAAAACAATTTCTGCCCTCAATAATGTACTTTCGAGTAGCACCAGAGGAAAAATCTTCTCCAAATAAGGGACGATTCATAACTCAGAAAGGAAGAGATGGTGCACCCAAATTCAAGATCCCATTCTGGAATTTCCTAGAATAACAGACTTGGATTGAGCTGCAACAATGAACCAAAAGACACTTGCACCTTCAAACTTTTCAAAAGAAGACAAACCATTCTACTGAAAAGTAATCTAGGCATTCTTTACAAAGTGCATCAAAAGTTGTTAAGGAATGCAGAGGCACTTTTGATACAATATGTTCCCCAAACCACTTTCAATACAAATTTAACCGAGTCAACCTTTTAAGGAAACAGATTAGAGCCCAGCCTGCACCATCTGACCACTGCCAATTATTCCATCAAAGGCGGAGCTAAAGGAAAATTCCTAGAACCTGACTCACAGGCCTCCAGAGAACTTATCCATCCAAAGAAACCTACATCAAAGAGAACTTTATTTTTTCACCTGTTAACACATCCTTTATTCCAACACAATGGAAAAATCTCTCTAAATTTAAATTATAATTCTAACTAGAGGTGCTTACTTTCAGTGAATACTGAAGAACCTTGAAATGTTGGCATGTCCCAATATGGGCAGACTGCAAAAATAATTCCTCCCCAAACTTATGAAGTAACTTTCACCTACTCAAGGCCAGCGCTCAGGGGATCCACATGGCTGTGTAAATAAGCCTCACCCTCTCCCATCATGGTGCATAGAACATAGCTTCCAGGACCAAGAAGGTTTCGTCACAGTTGAGGGTAACAAAATAGATAGAGAGTCATAAAAACTTCTGCCAGGATAAGGTGACAGGAAGAATATAATTATTGACATTGAACTCCAGCCACTGTCCCTGGATTGATAACCTCACTCTGTGGAGATAGTGAGTAAAGGTGCCTGTTGGTAAACATTTAACTAAAAAGGCTGCAACATCCATCTGATGACAAGTACTGTGCGGACAATCAATTCAATCAAAGGTCTCACAAAGTCAGAAAGGCCATTTATTAAATTAACCACCATGACACCTTTTTCAAATGTATTTATGCAGGTATACAATGCACTTGCTAATTTAAGCTCACATGCTCTCTATTGAAAAACTTTCAGAGTATGTCAAATAATGGGAAAACTGGAACTGTGCAAGCATCTTCTGGACAAAGTTGGGGCATAAGTTCAAATTCTATCTATGACAGCACAATATTGCAGAGAGGTAGTCCACTGGCTTCCCTAGAAACACACCATGGGGAGAGATTATTTCTTACAGCCCAAAACCCCAAGGTTAGAAAATAAATTGAGGTAGGCAAAGATACACCCCAAAAGCCAATTTGTTAAAGGAAAAAGGTGAGTTAGATTCTGTCTCAACATAAATGACACTAGCTCAGGTGATGGAGATGATTTCAGTTGTATAAATTAGAATCGTTTTTTGTAATTAAAGGCTGGGAGATAATGCAGGATTTTAAGGCAATCAAACTATGACCACATGAAACCAGGATGGCTCCCAATAAAAATGGAAATGGAAATGGCATCAGGGAAGCCACCTGTGGGTTCCCACATGGGGATCAGGAAACTTGGGCTTCAGTAGCTGTCCTCAGACTGGCTAACTGTGACCCGTGACGAGCAACTCAGTAGCTGGGGCCTCTTTTTACTCATCTCTAACGTGGTCCTACAGAAGTGACTGCTAGAGGAAGGAGGGAATGGATTGGAAAAGGGTGTGAGGGAACTTACTGGGGTGATGGAATGTTCTCTATCTGATTTAGGGTGTATGAAATCATCAAAAACTCATCAGGCTGAACACTTAAGATCTGCATATTCTGTTCTATGTTAATTATACTTTAATTAAAAATAAACGAAAACAACCTAAGATGGTTTCTAGGGTTCCTTAGACACTATAATTCTATGATAACTCACGACATGAGCCCCCTTCATACAATGGCCTTGTTTCTGAAGAGCTAAGGGAATATTGCACTTTTACAAAGTTATGAATAGTCTTCCACAGACCCAGCATCAATTCAGAGATGCTTCATCTTCCACTCAAGGCAACTTTTCATTTTCATATACTTTATAACGCTTAAGACAACCTCTTCGCTCACCAAGTCTCCTCTTGAGAATGAATAACCTCAATGCCTTTTCTTTTTTGCAGTGCCCATTTTCCATGCCTTTAATCATTTTTGCTGAGTTCCTCTGGACTGTATCCAAGTTTCTGTGCCATACTTAAACTGTATGGCCCCAACAAAGGCCTCAAGAGAGTAAATAAACATAATACAAAGATTTCCCTGTAGCTGGAGGAGGTTATATTGCAGCAAAATAAAATTAATAAACTTTTGACAGTTAATCTGAGTGCCTTATAAGTAATGTATTTACTAAAATGCTCGCCCAGAGTGGGCTGGAGCATGTGTGAAACTGGAGCTGGAAGAGGGAATGTTCTTCCTGTAATTTCGCCCATGTGAACAGTGATCAAAAGTTCAGTGACCAAAACTTTGGCCAAATTTCTGGAACCCAGATGAACACAAGGCAAATGAAAACTTGTGGCATATAAGGCCCCTATAAAAGTTAGATTTACGTAAATTGGGCTGGTGGTCTTAGGAAGGTTTGAAAGACAAAGGGGGCTGGGAAGGCAAAAGGGACCAGATGTGAACATAACCAAAAACACCACCACGATTGGCACTTCAGAGCACCTTTGCTGGCAAACTTTGCATGGAGTCAGAGATTTAATGTATTTAAAAATACAAAACCACTTTCTGATGACTAAAGATAGCATACATGAAGCACGCAGCCAGGAAAGATTAAGCAAATGTAAGCTATTATTTTATCAGCAGTACATTCTTGATGGACAAGCACATTGATAAATGAAGGGAAAACTTAGTCATAGTCTATCAGACATGGAAGGGAGAGTGGGAGGAACCCCATTCCCCAGGCCTCACAGTTCCATCAAAGGACATACTTCCCTAGAGTGGCACCGTTGACCTCTCTCCCCAGCTCACCAGATTGGCTTGGTCACTCTGGGCTTTCTCTTTTTGAATCTGCTTGCCCAAAGAAAGCGGACTTTGGGTCCTGCTCTCTGCCCTGCATTAGGCAGGCTGTGCATCTATGTTGTGGAGGCTGGTAGCAGTCCAGCTGGGTTGGTAACTGAGTGGGTAAATTGGTCTAATTTAGAAAGCCCACTGAGAGCATGAACCTAAGCAGTTCCTCAGGCCAGTTCTGTTGATAACAAAACCTTCACTTTTATCTCCTCTGTCTATTCCTCAACCAGCTCTGAACTCAGGAGGACCAGAGAGGAGGAGCAGTATTTACTTCTTCGCCTAAATCTCTACAGGAATTTTAGACATCGTCTCTTCCCAGAATCCCCATTTGATCTGGCCGTATCCTTCTTTCAGAATAATAGATGTGAGAAAACTGAGAAGCCATTTCAGTTGCTTCAGGGCAGGAAATAGAGAGCACACAGGACGTGGCTGCCGCCCGTTCCCCCACCCTGCATCCCTTGGGAATATGGCTAGAAGGGCAAAATAACAAATGCCTGTCTTTGCCTTCCCCTAGCCTTCCTAACGCACACATTTTTCAACTGCACAGCTCCTCTAACAACCAATTAACCCTGAGGCTTTAGATGAAAAGCAAAGTACTTCTTCACCCTGAAAAATCTGAGAACCCAGGATAAAGTCTTCATTCTATAAATAAGGAAAATGCAGCTTTGCCCAAGGAGCCACATCCAACCAGTTAGGATGGCACCTCCAGGCCTCAAAGTCAGTGTTCTCAACTTCTGTTTTCTGTTCCAACACAACATACTCCAGTCAATAACAGTAGCTCAATCATGGCAGTGACTCTCCAGATGGGAAGGTGGATTAGACTCCACGTGAGGCACAGATGTTATATACAATTTTTTGAAGTCTCCAGGTAAGATTCTGAATCAGGTTGGGCGAGGTAGCTCACGCCTGTAATCCCAGCACTTTGGGAGGCTGAGGTGGGAGGATTGCCTGAGGCCAGGAGTTTGAGATCAGATTAGCCAACCCAATGAGACCCCACCTCTACAATAAAATTTTTAAAAAAATTAGCCAGGCATGGTGGCATGTGCCTGTAGTCCCAGCTACTCAGGAAGCTGAAGCAGGAGGACTGCTTGAGCCCAGGAGTTTGAGGTTGCAGTGAGCTATGATTGCGCCACTGCACTCAAGCCTGGGTGACAGAGCAGGACATGTTTCTAAAAAAAAAATTCTGAATCATCTCTCTAGGGAGTCAGGCCTGGATGTGACTATGAACAAATGAACGAGTTACTCTCTGAGATTCAGTATACTTATCTGTAAAACAGGAATAATAATCTACCCAATCTATTTTATAGGCTTATCCTCAGGACTAAATGAGATGATATTTAGATCGAGACTCTCCCTGACTTCCAACAACTGATGGCTTCTGTACCAATTCAGGATAGGCTAGGATATGCTGCAGTAAAAAACAACCCCAATGTTTCAGTGACTTAACGCAAAAAAAGTTTATTTCCACTCATACCAGGTCTACTGTGGATCCAAGTGACTCTCAGAGCACCTGTCCTCAGAAATCCGGGCTGCCTGAAATTGTAGAATGAAGCCTCCTCTGTGACACCAGTGCAGGTGAAGAGGGCACTAACGGGTCTCACTGCAATTAAATGCTCCTACGTGAAAGAAGCCTGTGTCCCTCCTGCCCATGATTCTCTTCTTCCCTCGAGAGTACAGACGTAAAATCTGATAAGCAATCTGGAAATTCTATCTAGCTCAGGGAAGATAGTCCAAAATAGGCAAATTACTGAAAAATAAGTGGAAATTACCTCCCTTTTGCCAAAAAAAGCAAAATGTAGGCAATAAGATGTGCCTGTCAGAAAAGAGAGTACATGGCTTTATCTCCAAAAGATACCAACCGCCACAGTCACTGTGGTAAGAGTAAAAGCAGCATGGCAAAATAAAACCAACACAGAAAGAATCTGCAATAAGATGATATCTTGGCTGGTTTTCAAAAATGAACTACACTAACTGTACCATTATTACTCTGGGCTTTCCCCACCAAAAGGTACTGACTTAGTGATTTTCTGTAAATAGCAAAAATGATTTAATTGAGCTGGGTATAAAAGTACCAGGAGTGAAGCATAATGCACACTTCTGTGCTGCTTCTGTGCACTCCCCTTGTCTCTTTTTTAGCACTAAAAGCTTGAAAGAGTTGAACATCTGGGTAGGCTGCAACTGAATATCCAATGGCCTATACCAGGGTTGGGGAACCTGTGGCCTTAAGGCCACATGTGGCCTTCTAGCTTTTTAAGTGCAGCCTTTTGACTGAATCCAAATTTTACAGAACATGTAAAAATGTATTTTTACTAATACATTTTTGTTAATCACTTATATTTTTATTTTATTTTTAAAATGAATGTATTTAAAATACCAAAGAATAAAATGCATTTCAAGGAAATAATCCTCCCAGATTGACTGGCACAATTAGAACATTAGTAAGCCATAAGGGCTAAATTGACGGCTGCTACACTCATCATTTAGTGCTAACTTCCCCGGGCACACTACCACACGAGGCTGGTTGGGGAAAGTTTATGGGGGTCAGGTATGCCAGTATGTTATCAGCTTTTGACAACGGTGCATTGTGTTTCTGTTCAAGGTGGAATGTGCAAGTTGCACAGCTTGACATTATTTTTTAATTCTGTCTGCTTAATGGCCCATCGTGTCAACGAAGAGCAAGAGAATGCTGAAGAAAGACAACAGATTTTTTAATGAGGACCGGGAATTGCAGTGTTATCTTGTTTCTGCTAAAGATAAGATGATTTGCTTGCTTTGTGATACTGCAATATCAACATTAAAGAAATTTAATGCTCATCGGCATGATAGCCCTCATAAGGACCACAAATATTTTAAATTGGAGAGGCACAAAAGGTTGTATTGTAGAAATTAAAACATGAAAAGCAAAAGCAAAGAGAATTCTTTCAAGCAGCAATAAGACCTGGCAATAATGCCACTGAAGCAACTTAAAAAGTAGGCTTATATACTCAAGAAAAAAGGGAAGCCATTCAGTGACGTAGAAATTGTGAAAGAATGCATTGTCAAAGTTGTGGGCTGCTTAGATCCAGATAACATTTCAAAGTACAAACAACTGCCTCTTTCAAGGAGAACCATAACTAATCAGCAGCATGAATTAGCCTTCGACTTAACAAAACAACTTCATGCAATACTTCCAAAGGAAAATATATATTATTCCATCACTTTGGATGAATCAGCTGGTACTACTGACTCAAGACACGTTTTATACTTCTTTTGGGTCATAACAGAAGATTTTCTTTGCTATGAAGAGTTACTCGCTTTGGGCACTCTTGTGAACAGAACACGGAATAGATTCTTCAACTACTTTCAAGATAAATGTTGCGACGTTGGACTGAATTTGGTAAATTCAGTGAGTGTATGTACAGATGGTGCACCTTCTAAGACAGGAAAATATGAAGGGTTTATTGAACATATTAAAAAATGTACTAACAGATCCAGATGCTCTCATTTCTTTTCATTGTATCTTGCATCAGCAAAATTTCTGTGCTAAAGCTACTATTTTAAGTGACATTTTGCAACAAGTTATAAGTATTGTTAACTATATTCATGCAAATGCAACATGGCATGGTCAGTATTGTAATATGCTGAAGTTGAATGATGAGGTATTCAGTGTGGATTTGCCCTATCATTCTAAAGTGCGTTGGCTATCCCAGGGACAGGTGTTAGCCAAAATTTTATCTTTGTGAGAACAGATAGTTAAATTTTATGAAGAACAGAATCAGCAATGTGAATTATTGAAAGATTTCATAGGAATGCAGCATTTCTGTGTGATTTCATGTCAAATCAAAACGACTTGAATATTTCTTTGCAAGGTAAAATTAGGTGTATATATGATATGTGGCAAAAAATCCAAGCATTTTGAAAAAAACCATCTTTTTTCAAAACACTTCTTCAAAAGGAAATTTCAGATGAACATTTTCCCCAGTTAGCAAAGGTGATTGATGAGCAGGATGATATATGTGAATCATCTGAAGAATATTCAGCTGCTATAGACCTACTAATTGGAGGTTCACTCACTTTGAGAAACATGACATCACACTCAAATTAGCATTTTAGCCTCACCTAGTTGATATCACCAAGGCACCTAAAGAACTATAGATGGAATTGATTGACCTCTCAGTAGATGACATTTTAAAGTCATTGTCTGATGCTATGAAAAGTCCAATTAAAATATGGAAAAATGCAGTAGAATACCTGAACCTGCAGCAATATGCCTGAAAAATGTTTTCTTGCTTTTCAACCACTTATTGCTGCAAATCTATGTTCTCCTACCGAACCCAAATCAAGATACACTTAAGATCACAAATGACTGATACCCATCCAGAAGATCAGCTGAAACTGCAGACCTCCATGCTGCAACCAAATATTCACATGCTTTCCAACAAAAAGCAGACACAACAAAGTCATTAAAACATTAGTTAACTTCAAAATCAACAAATAGTTTTCATTTTTTGACATCAGTAAGTATACGGTAATTAGATTTTTACAAAATAATGTATATTTTTAAGTATACTTAATTGAAGTTTCTTGAATGCAGCCTTATTTGATTACAACTAAATTAAGGCAGCCTTCCAACATGAAAACGTTTCCCCTCACCTGGCCTATACTAATTTTTAAAAACCTCAAACTGATTTTCTCTGGTTCATACTGAAAAGAAATAAAAGAAAAGAAATCACTACTGATGTTAACAAAGCCCTGACCCAGCAGGATCCCTTAACCCAATAGTCTTGTAACAGTTTTCTTATGTCCTGTGCTCCCAAAGCAGCTACTAGTACCACTGAGGCAGGATGTTCCTACAACACACTGCTAACAGCAGTCACTAGAACCGAAACAGCAGAGCGGCCCACAAAGTAATACATCGGACAAGCAACTTCTTTTTAATAAAGTTATGTTTTTGGCTACATGAGCACTGAAAACCGAAGTTAAAAGTTGTAGGAGGAGAGAAAGTATTGAATCTGAGGATTCTGTTAATTTAACCAAATACATATAAATATTTCGCCTGATTTTACAGGATTTCACATACACTTATTTTCTTCTCTCTTTCTGCATAAATAATATGCCCACATTTCTATCTCTCAACTCTCTTTCCTTCCTAGTAGGGCTTTTCCTGCTTGGATTACTCCTATTTTGGTTTAGTTTCTCAGCAGGGATGACTCACATTCCCAGTGCTAGGAAGAAACGCATCATACTGCTCTCTCCAGTGTTTGTTTTTCGGCAAGTTCCCAAACACAAACCTGAAGTCAGCCTCGGAAGGTGGCAAGGGTCTCTCTGTTGCCAAGTCATTTGATGAGCATGTGTCCGGCCTCATTTCTGTCCAGCATCCCACTGCGATTGTGAAGGTGGAGGCTGGCATGGGCATAGTTACATAGTAATGCCAGCTTGCAAACCCTACAAACAGAAAGAGAAAAACTTTAGTGAGGCCAGTATATGGTTCCAGACCTTATTCTGTATTTCTTCTCCTGAGGCACTTAAAGAGCTTGTGTGATAAGCTGGTAAGCGCCAATTCTTGGGGGTGGGTCACATTAACTGAAGGGGCATTATTCCAGGATTCAGTGAAAGCATAAGAGGGATGATGGTTTCAAGGCAGCCAAGGAGGTTTGAGTCTCTTCCATTTTGAAGCCCTTCAAGTGAGGCTATAAATAAAGGGTGGTGGTTGAGGTGGTCATTCACACCTACAAACACAGAAGGGCATAAGCTGTATGCTCCCATAGAGATAAGAATGTATCTTACTATCTTACTGCTTAGCACAGTATTTGGCATTAAAAAAGATGCTCGATTTATATCTGTTGAATGAACAAATGACAAACGAATGGTCACTTCTGTGCTGTAACTACTTTGTCTAATTTTAATTCAAATCGATCGAAAATGGACATAGTAGAAAATACATGAGCCAGGGAAGGGAGACAGCTGGGTTTTAGCACCAACTCAGAAACTAATTAGCTGCGGAAGTTCAGGTCTGACCCCCCATCATTTTTATCTGTTTAGCTGGTCTGCCACTCCTCTTTGAGCAGATGAAAACCAGGCGTAAAGGTTCACCGGAGCCACAGACTCCCAACTGGTCTGTAACAGGGATGGGATTACATGTGGGGCTCACCCCAGGTGAGTGTGTACTCTCTACTTAGTACAAACTTTATAGGAGGCTTTTTATCAACAGAAGGAATGATTTATAACTTATAACACTATACTTCCCTCATTTTTAAGATGGGAAAATAATTTTAGTGTTTCTGAAATCTGAATGTGGCATGCAATCTGATTTAACATAGTATCTTTTTCTGAGCATGTGCTATAAATTGATGGTATGTCTTAAGGGGAATTGATATCATCTTATATTAAGGAACACATTTCTCCACTTTTCATGTTCCCATGGGGAGGAGCTTCCATTAGAGTAACACCTTTTTTTTTCGGTCCCCTTACAAACTCCTTTGTAGGAGCTATTTTTCTCTTTCTTATTTTAAATTTTGGAGGGTTAAACACCCACAAAGTGACCTGCGGTTGTCAAATTTGGTCAGTGAGTGGATACGATGTCAAATTCAGGGTCAAAATATTAACATGTCCACACTGGCCAGCAGATCTAACATGACGTTTTTCAAAGTGCTTTACCAGTAAAAACCAATAATAGAGGTTAGATTTTGATCTCCCTATGATTGGCTCCTCTGTTTATCTCTCCACTAATTCTGAACTCAGGAAGGTAGGAAAGCAAAAAATAAATAGGATTTCTGGTGAAATTCAAGTTTGGAAGTCATTAGAGGAGATACTTGAAGGAGACATACAGAAGGGCATGCTCGGAACTGCTGGAAACCCACAACAGAGGCAGCTACCCTCTCAAGTTTGCTTAGACGTTTCATCCTGCTTTTGGAACCCAAACGGCCATTCTTGAGATCCCTCTCTTTGTAGCTGACTAAGAAGTTGAAGGCATGCTCCTCTTTAAAGAGACAATCAAATCCAGTGATGCTGGAGCCAATCCAGTGATTGCTTCTACTGGGCTTGAAGAAAAACCACAGCCTTACGAGAATCACTGCTCTGATCCCAAGCCAGTGAGAAGTGGGTAGGGACAGTCACAGGACTCTCGATGAAAGCATGACATGGATCTGGCATGACAAGCTATTCCATGCCCACCTCCCTAATTTTTCCACTTTCCCATAACTACTTCATTCTCTGCAATCTGATGCCTCCTGTGACTGCTCCATGAAAAACATCAGTTTGTACTGGACAACATAATGAGAGCTGGAGCAGGTGGGAGGGAGGGTGGAGATGGAAGGAGAGGAGAGAGGTAGTTGGTGAGGAACTAAATCTTTTGAAAGGCCTCAGTTTAAAAAAAAAACCTCAAATAACAAATTTTCTTATTCAAAGGGCTGTGATCTCTCATTGTTTCTCTGAGGCACATTTTAGCGCATTTACCATGGACCATTAGATTTTCCTTTTTAAAAATGTAGACCCTGGGGGGTTCAGTAAATAAGCAGCAATGATACGGCTTTCAGATAAAAATGGGAGTTTGAATGAATCAGGGCACCTCTCCTTCCTCCCAAAACCCACTAAAGGACAGCAAAAGGATTTTTTTTAAAGGCATAGACCAACAAGAACAGGAAGAATAAAACAAGAATCAACAGCGACAAAATAATATTGGAAGCTAGAAAGCAGATGGCAGAGTGGCAAATGATGTAGCACAACTAAATTAGCAGTTGGGAAAGATAAGACCCACCTCATTTTATCCCCTAGAAGCCCCAAAAGGCTCTGAGGTAGAGGAAGTGTTAAACTAAGCAGGCCTGGTTGAACGTCTGGCTAAGAGGGGTTCAGATCCATGACCGCCTCCCCCACTATGCACACCTGGGCCCACCCTACCCCCCACATTCCAGCTAATAACTGAAGGTTTATTTTCTAGAGAGCAAGAGAGGGCCTCTGGACTAGGGGGTAGGGATGGGGGAAGGAATGGCACAGTTGAAGGCAAATGAAGGGATTAGATGAACATATGCACAGAGGATGCTGAGATCACCAGCCATTTTCTCTTATTTGGTTCCCAGAAGGCTGGCAGCCAGGCTTTCACCCTCCACCCAGGAAACTGAAGGAAGCAGACCAGCCAAGAGAAGATGCTTAAGGACACTGGAGGTTTTCTGTGATCAGCCCATGGTGAAGCTCATGGCTGATAAGTCTTCTGTATGCACTCAGAGCTTCCAATCAGTATTTTAGCCCCCTACTCCTAAATGTATGCAGACAAACCAAGGACCTCCAGGCATTTTTAGAAAGCCTCTAATGCAAAACCAGGAGACCAAAATAAACAGAAACAAGCAACTTGGAGGGTAGTAATCACCCAAGAAGAAAAAACTTCAAAAAATATAAAACATACAAATGCTGAGAATTAGAAGAATTTATTGTAGCCCTGAAACAAGTACAGTATAGTATTAAAAAAAGAGAAAACTCATAAGGAAAATTAAAAACATGATAGAAAAAAAGAAAAACTCAATAAAAGAGATATGATGAAATATAAAGCTGAAATTTCCCAGAAAGTAGAGCATAAAAAAAAAAAAAAAAACAAAAAGAGGATGAAAAATAGAATTGCAATTCAGGAGGTTCAAGGTCCAAGCAAAAGATAGAAGCTCCAGAAAAAGACAACAGAGAAAACAGAAGGGAGGAAGTCATCAGTCAAAAAGTTAGAGAAAACTGCCCTAAACTGAAAGGGGCACGAGTTTTCAGATTGAAGGACACAAAATACCCAGGACACTGGATACAAACTGACCTAGTAAACTAATCGATCAATTAAAGTAATCTTAACAGAAAAAGAACAATATTTTTGGTTCTGAGATACTACTAAAATGATAAAAATATAACTCAGAAGGAAGAAAAAATTTAGAGAGAAAAAGTAGGCACCACGCTGTTAAGAAATCCTTTTAAGAATGAAACACTATGCACAACAGCCTGTCTCCCTACCTCCTGTATTGAATTTTTGACCTGAGTGTTTGCTGCCTGTTTGGTTCTTGTACCATCCCTCTAGACCATGGGCAAGATGAGACCTGTGGAAACAGCAGGAACTGAAACTACTTCCAAGAGAAAGCACTGCGAATGGAGTAAGAGGTATTTGTTAGATCCCCACACAAGGTCACCCAGAATCCACAGAGTGCCTAATCACATCATGTCCGAGCACCTTTATCAGAATGTCGGTACCCTCTAGGTGATGCGGGCAGGACACTGTAAGCCACAAAGGGATATGGCAGGGCAGAGAGATGGAGATTAGCAATAAGAAAGTCAGAGACTTAAATGACCCAGAGTTTGGGAGTGAGATGGCAGTAGTGATAGATAACAAAACCTGAATTGAGTCCAACAAAAATATTTTAGAACTGTCATTGTTTCCTTGCAGTCTTCTCTGAAGTTAAATAATGGAAAGAAAATGATTTTTTTGGAAACACATTGAAAATATCACCCAAACCCATATTTTAAATGCTCAAGATGATTTCCTCCTATACGGCCCACAAGATTTTTTATTTTCTTAGATTCCTAAAGTTCCCCTACTTAGTGAAGCTCATGCAAAATAAACTGTTTCATATTTCAAGCTTTTAAAAGCAAAAAAGTTTCTTGGCTACCAAGTGACAGTCAAATAGGGGCAGATCAACTGGCTGGGCCAAATAGGAACCAGCCAGGGACCAAGTTCCCAAAGACCCTGATCAAATTCTTCTCAGAAGCTTCTCACTAGTGTCTGGCCCTGGGCTTCTTGCCCTGATCCTGGGTGAATGCTGGAGCCAGTGCTGAGATCACTGAACACTGCCAGTGCTCTGGGGAAAGTTTTTATTCATTGTTATGAGGACATTTCTAGTATCCTCATTTAGTAGAAAAGTCTCTTTTGAGTTGTCTGTTCATGGATTATACCAATGAGCCCAATCTTGCAAAAAGACTGCCCACAGCCACAGGGAACACCTGACCTCATCTTCGAATCAGCCTGCAAAGACTGCAAATAACAAGGCGGAAACACTGCTGCCAGAAAGCAGAGCATACGTTCCCAAGACAAAGAGAAATAATTTCTAGATTGTCTATTGTGTGGGATAAGCCTACCTTGCAAAGAGAACTGATGAGTTTATTTCTCTTGGGTATGTCCATTGATTGAGGTCCAGCTCTGGAATCTGACGGCTGGGGTTCAATTCCCTGCTCCACATTCACCAGTTTGGGCACATTATTTAATCTCTCTGTGCATCAACTTCCTCTTGTGTAACAATGGAATAATCGCCGTATCTACCTCATAGGATTTTGTGAGGGTTAAATTAGATAATATATATAGTGATATATATAGTGATCAACTAGACATAATAACTGGCATATAGTAAGTGTTCAAGAAATGTTAACTGCTGTCCTTGTCATCATCGTGGTTGTTGTCATCGTCATCATCTGCAAGCTCTCATCTTTAC